CTGGTGACGAGCTTCTCGTCAGGGCACGTAACGACCTCTTTTTTAACGGTGAGAAGACCTAAGATCTTCTCTGGCGTGAGTTCCCTACACCATCATTTCCTCCTCAACCGTTCTTGTCATGTTTTTCCTTTGGCTCAGAATTGCCCTGGAACACCATTAGTCTTCAAAAATATTTCTAAATGAAATATATAAATGACAGGATTGTCATTGTATGATTTGTTGGTAGCACCCCAAAGCTGTCTAGCACAGGATAAAAACGTAATCGTCCGTGAAGGTTGCAGGTAGGACATGGAAGCTTTTTCTTTGGGACGCGGTGTTCCACAAGGCCACGCACACTGCGTAGGTCTGCCAAACGCTGGGACGGGGGAGGCGGTGAGGACGCAGCCGGCTGCAGCGCATGGGACCTTCCCTGCTGGTCTTGAAAATTTCCACAGTTTGTACCGACCGTAATCTGATTGGTATAGATCCCTATTTCCTTCCGTATTTGCTAACACCTATTTTCCCCGGAAGCACATTAACGTGATTCATAGTACTTTAGGTGTTATATGGAAAAACATCTGTTGACTTGATTATATCTCATCAAGTTAATACACAGGCATTAGAATAAATAATTTGGAGCACACTGTTTGCCTTGCAGTTCATTTGGGTGTAATTAATGTGCATAAATTCCATATGTGTGAAGACTTATTATACAAAAATGTCTAGACAAGGCGGACAGAACCAACTCCAGTTTCTCTCCACATGTGTTGTATACGTGGGCAACTTGATTCTGGTTTAGTGGGGTTTTGTGTGTGTGTGTGTGGGTGTGTGTGTGTGTGTGTGTGTGTGTGAAGGAGCTTCTCTGATGGGTTATCGATAGTGGGTGCCCAGCTTGCCTGGTAGTTTTTTACTGAGCCAGAAGAAAATGAGTGACGTTATTAAACGATCAGCCGGTACCTTCAAGGGATTTGGAATTTTTAAATACAAAGAAGTCTTGAGGGAGAATTTAAGCAACGTCGTATTAAGTCCATGGCATTATTCAGTTTACCGTGGGCTCCTAGTGAACTTGTGAGGCGGAGAAGTGGGCCTCGAGGGAAACGAGCCTTCCCCTCCCTCCAGCGCCCCCGCTCCCCGGCCCCTTTCAGCGGATCCGTCCTTTCTCGTCTTCTGGGTAGCTGCCGCCGCCAGTCTACGCTCCGTCGTACACTAAGATCAGACACACTCACCATGTTCTGACGTTCACTTCTTTCCAGAATGATCTCATGTTAGTAAGTGTAGCCAAACTCTTTTTCTTTTTAATTGAATTTATCGGAGTGACCTTGGGTAATAAAATTATATAGGTTTAAGATGTACAATCCTATAATAAGTGATCTGTGTATTGTATAGTGTGTTCACCGCCCCCAGTGTTGTCTCTTTCCATGACCGTGTACCCCGCTTTTCCGTCTCCTGCCTCCCCCCGACCCCCTTTCTCTCTGGTAATGACCGTACTATTTTATGAGTTCCCTCCCCCCTCCCTCCCTTCCCTCCTTCCTTTTCCGCTTAATCCTGTCGCCTTCTGCACCCAGCCCCCTGCGCTCTCCGCTCTGACAGCTATGAGTCTGTTTCTGTTTTGTTTGTTAGTTCAGTGTGTTCATTAGATTCCACATGTGAGTGAGACCATATGGTGCTTGTCCTTCTCGGACGGGCTTATTTCACTGAGCATGATGTTCTCCAGGCCCATCCATATTGTCACAAAGGGTGAGATGTCCTTCGTTTTGACAGCCGAGTGGTATCCGCTGTGCGAATGTAGCACAGCTTTTTACCCACCCGTCTACAGGTGGGCACTTGGGCCGCTTCCAGAGCTTGGCGACTGACCACAGAGGACAGAGAAGGTGCATTCAAATCGCTCCCTAGAAAGAAGACTTTACTGAGACTGGGCATGATTCACACCTTAAATGTAGCATCTGGAGAAGCTCCGAGGACTTTAGAATGAAAGAAGCTTTTCCATCTCCCTGGGCGAATTTACGGTGTGAGCTCTCGGGTCGTCCCCGAGGGCCGGTGGACCCGAGTGGGAAACCCCCAGGTTTGCCGCAGAGAAGCTTCCCTTGCCCAACTGCAGTGGCCACGTTCCTCCCCGGCATTTGCTGTCATCTAACGTGGCACAGATCTCACCTATTTATTTTGCCTGTCAACGGCGGTGCAGTTTCCATAATGACAAGAGTGTTTTCTCTTATTCGTTGCTGTGCATCCAGCACTTAGAACAGTATCTAGGTCACAGGAGGTGCTCAAAGCTGCCCGTCCGATTAACGGAGGGAGCCCGGGAGGGCGGGCCTGCGCCGCCAGCAGGCGGGCGACGGCTGCACTGCCGTAGTCGTTGCCACGGTCTGCGCAGGGCGAACGGAGAGAGGTGACGGAAAACCCTCGAGCTGGAACGTTAACACTCACCGCCCTGCGTGAGGAAGCAGAGGCCGGGAAGACCGCTGGGCTCCGAGAAGGAGAAAGAAGTGGAGAATGGAAAGGAAATGGCGTCCTGGAAGTAGCTGGAGAAGAGACGAGCAGGAAGGAAAACCCGTTAAGGCCACAGGGAGACTGCGCGCGATGCGAATCTCTCCTCTAACCGGCCCCGCTTTTAATGGTCCTGTTTTCTTTTATAAGGGCTACTCCCTATTTAATGTGACACATTTTGTACTAGAGACAATTTCAGCAGTTCTCACAACGTAGGAATTATAAAGAATTTCTAATTGCCACGTGACAGTATGGCTTTTATGTGTGAATATATATATATATATTTATATATATCTTGATTTTGAAATAACATTTGAGCGAACTTACTTTTGGAGGGTAGTTGGGGAAGGGAGAGAGTTCATTTTGGGCACCGTTCTAGCTCTAGGGGGAGGGTTGAGGGCACTGAAAAAATGGAACCGTTGTCCCAGCTCTGCATAATCCCAAACCTTGTGATGTCCTCCTGGAGCGAATCAGATCAGGCTGGTGGTACCAGCGGTCACTTCCCGGGGCCTACGAGACGAATCTATGGGGATGGTGACAGACATCAGCGTTTAACAATGCGCCAGGAGCTGAAATCTCTTGAGCACCTGCAGAACATTTCGAACATCTCGAGGTGCCTTTTGGACCTACAGGTACATAATTTGGTAATATTAATGAATTGGGGTATTATGAATTTACTATGGATATTTTTTTTTCTTTCCAGATAGGTCTGTTTAAACATCTGGAGCCCTTGGGTAGCTGGAATAGTGGCAGTGAAGTTATTCATGCTTCATACTATATTTAGATTAAAATTGGTGTGCCCTTAGGTATTGTTGGGGATCTCTAAAAACATGAGATCACTGTCTACGTAACCAAGAGCAGCATCCCTGTTTGGGAGACGGCATCTGCTTTTCTCTAAGTCAACACGCGGGAGAGATCCTCAAGTTTGTTGCCGAGAAACTCTCCGTGACTGAGCCCAGAGACGCTTTAGTCACCTCTCTGTCCTTCACACTTAGAGGCGGGACCAGGGGGCGGGGCCCTTCCAGCTCCACGGCGGCAGGCTGCTCTGCGAGCCGCGCCTCTGTAGCTGTTAATGTTTTATAGCAACTATAATTTAATCAGGGCTATTTCATCTTGGGCGAATTATAGCGGCTTAAAATAACAATTTCCAGAGTATGACACAAACTATAAATCTCTCACTACTATTATTCTTTACAAAGCGTGGTCCAGATTTAATTCTGTAAAAGGAAAGTGCCTTTGCCTCAAAGAGGCGTTTTCATTAATTGTGGGCGTGTTAACCTGCAGTTTGACCCTGGTGGCATCTGGGTGTGGGGGAGAGGGCTAGACTCCCCGTTGGGGCCCTGGGACCCGCCCCTGTCTGTTAGTAACTATGAGTTTGTTCTCACTGATGGCTCTGGACCTCTGTCTATGTGATTTTCCTCTTATCCCTCTATATCTTCAGTGTCTTATGATATGAGTTGTAGCGATTTGATGATAAAGGGATACACGTCCAAATATGGGTTATGTGCACATTTGGTCCGTCTGTTGAAATTGCTTCAGAGCTGTAAGTACAAAAAGATAAACAAAGGATTTTACTTTTCTGTCAATGCCAGAGAACCTTGGAGAATAAAGGATGTTCAATGCCTGTGGCAGATAATGTGGTAAATTTTGTTTCACCAACAGGCCAGCGTTCTCTTTTTTTAAGAGGTTTTATTTATTTTTATTTTTAGACTGAGGAAGGAAGGGAGGGAGAGAGGGAGAGAAGCATCTGTGTGTGGTTGCCTCCTGTGCAACCCCCGCTGGGGGCCTGGCCCACAACCCAGGCCTGTGCCCTGACTGGGAATCGAACCGGCGACTCTTTGGTTCTCAGGCTGACGCTCAGTCCACTGAGCCGCACCCGCTGGGGCTCCAATGGGCCAGTTCTCTTGATATGTGTTTTCTTTTCGCTGTTGAGGGTCTTTTGGAGCTCTCCCGTGCTCTGTGGGGAGCCCAGCCAGGATAGCAAAGCCCGTGACAGGCGGCGGCCGGCGTGCCAACGCCGCGCGGGCTCTGGCCGTCTCTGCCACGGGCGGGGCGATGCCTCAGGTGCTGGCCATGGCGCTGGAGTCTACCTGCTCCCCGCACCGCTGACCTTAGGCTACAGAATTGCTGCATTCTTAGCTAGTGCCTCATTTGGTCGTCTTTAAAATACACACTCTTTTTTCTTAACCACTTGACAGTCCATTTTGTGACTATGTTGGAAAACGCTGGCTAAAATAATAAGAATCATCTGAAATCTGGGTCTCTGGGCGCAGCTGGAAAACTAGGCAGTTTTTGCCTGCTCTGCTTTTTCGTTATCAGAAAACTGGGCAGCAGGTCAGGGACAAATACCGTTAGGAAACATTTGCAGCGCCTGGTATGCGAGCCAGGAATGCGAAAGGCTAGAGATAGGCTTGTTTGATGTTCCAAATCCATTTTAACATTGCAGGGAAAAAAACCCCCACCTCTTTGATGTAGCATATCAGGAGTCTCACCAAATGCTTTCCTGTTGAAATAAGTAAAACAGTTAAAGGCTCGGGGGTGTAGTTCTTGGCTCTCTGGTGTGTGTTCTTTTCTTCTGAAACTTTAGAGAGGACTTTAGATGTTGAAAATATGAAGTCTCTGCTTTGCACCCAGCGCTGAGCGAGCAAGCCTTGGGGAAGAGAAGTGGACTGCTGAGAAGGTTGCCCGGTAGGAATCACTCCAATTGGGGCGCAGCATGAACACAGATTAACCCGAAAGTGTGCTCAAGAAGACAGGGCCAGGCTGTGGGCTGCGGGGATTCTGGACGGCGCGGACTCAGTCAGGGAGCTGCTACAGACCCCTTTTTATCTATGTCCACTTTTGGGACATGCAACATCAAATATAGGTGAAGTTTTCCAATCATTGAAGTTTACCTCTTTGACATTTTAAGTTAAATGATTTTGATGAGGTTTTTACAAAACATACAGCCTAATCTTTTCCTAAGTAACAAGCTTTTCCTGGCATATCAAGCTTATCATCATGCACATAGATATTTTGAGCTGGAAATAAATTTAGAAATCATGTAGTCTAATCTCTTTATTAGATAGTTGTAGAAACAGAATCTCAGAAAATTTCCCAAGGGAGAATAGAATCTAAGTTTTGCTGACTGTTGCCATTTTTTGATGATCTCAGGTTGTGCTTTTGATCTTATCTTCCAGAATCTTTGATGTATGTAGGGCTATTTTTTCTCCATTGTAAGTGATCCTAGACTTTTACACTTTTATACTTTTCTCTTCATTATTTATGGTTTCTATCTCATTTTCTTCACCGTCAGCCCAACGGCAGTCACTTGCTGGGACTTCTCTGTCTATGTGCTGGTTCAGACTGGGAAATGGGTTCTAATGGTTTCCGGAACAGAACTGGTAAGTAATGTAAACAAAGGCACACGTTTTATTCCATGGATGTTGGGAAGAGTTAGGCATGCGATGTCCTGTTTTCATCCTTACTCCAGGTTCTGCCCTCAGCCTGGGTGACGCTGTCAGCCCCGCGGGGCCGCGCCCTGGGCTCCCAGTTCTTGCAGCTCATGCTCTGGGGCTTCGACCAGCCTCTGGACACTAAGCCGGACTCCCTCCAGCCGCTTCTCTCTCTGCCTGCGGCGAGCGGCACCCAGCGAGCCCCGCTGTCTCCTCTCAGTCTCCTCCAGAAAGGGGCTGGAAAGCTGCGTAGTTCTAAGACAAGTGCGGCCTGACATTCAAAGTCTTCAATTGTATCTGGTATTTTAATACCACACAGAATTTCTTTGTTGACCTTAAATAACTTTTAATTTTTTCATTACAAATCGATATACAATATTATGTTAGTTTCTTTCTTAGATTCCACATATAATCAAAATCACATGGCATTTGTCTTCCTCTGTCTGACATTTCACTTAGCATATTACCCTATAGGTTCGTCAAGGTGGATGCAGATGGCAAAATTTCATTCTTTTTTTATGGCTGAGTCCCATTTCCTTGTATATATGCGCCGCTTTATCCGTTTATATATTGATGGGCACTTAGGTTGCTTCCCCACATTCGCTATTGCAAATAATGGTGCAATTAACACATGGCTGTAGATGTCTTTTTGACGTAGTGTTTTGAGTTTCATCGGGCAAATACCCAAAAGTGAATTTGCTGTGTCATGTTATATGACAGCTTTGATGAGTAGCATAATCTTGGTTGTAGGTCTTTGCTTTCAATCACTTTGAGTATTTCTTGCCAATTCCTTTTGGCCTAGAAAGTTTCTGTTGAGAAATCAGCTGACAGTCTTATGAGAGCTCCCTTGTAGGTAACTAACTGTTTTTCTCTCACTGCTTTTTACATTCTCTCTGTCTCTATTTAATCTTTGGCATTTTTATTGTCATATGACGTGGTGTGGGCCTCTTTGAGTTAACCTTGTTTTGGACTCTCTGAGCTTCCTGGACTTGTGTGTCTATCTTCTTTACCAGGTGAGGGAAGTTTCTATCACAACTTTTTTACGTAGTTTTTCAATTCCCTGCTCTTCTCTCTCCTCCTCCCAGCACCCCCATGACGCGAATGTCGGTATGCATGAAGTTATCCCAGAGGTACCTTATATTACCTCATTTTTTAAATTCCGTTTTCCTTTTGCTGTACTATTTTCATGTTTTCTGCTTCCTTATCTTCCAAAACTATGATTTGATCCTCTGCTACATCTACTTCATTATCGATTCTCTGTAATGTAGTATTCATTTCTGTTAATGCATCGTTCATTTCTGGATGGGTCTTTTTGATGTTTTCTAGCTCCATTTTTATGTTTCCTAGCTCTTTGCTGAAGCTCTTGTTGAATTCACCTGCTCGTGCCCTAAGTTCCTCGAGCCTCCTCCTAGCCGGTGTTTTGAACTCTGCGTCTGGTAGATTGCTTGTTTCCATTTTGGTTAGGTCCTTTTCCAGAGTTGTGTTCTGTTCTTTCATTTGGGCCATGATTCTTTGTCTCCTTGTTTTGGCCTCCTCCCTGTGTTTGGTTTTAGGTATTAAGTAGAGCCACTATATCGCCTGGTTGTGGTAGCATGGCCTAATGTAGCAGGTGTCCTGTTTTAGAGGCTCGTGGCCCTTGTCGATCACCCTAGCTGGGCACCCAGGTGCACCTTCCTGTGGTAGTTAAGCCTTGATGGCTGTTGGCACAGCAATGGGAGAGACTCACTCCCAGGCTGGTCATCTGTGGAGACTGCCGGCAACCACCACGCAGGATCAGCCCCGCAGGGACGCACCCTGCGGACAGGGCTTCCTTCAGCGGGGCTCTGGTGCCCACTCAATCTGCCCCTCGAGTGTGTCACCTGTGGAGGTAGTTCGGTGACGCTTTGGCCTGGTCTGAAGCTTTCCATCAGGTGTGCTGGCTCTGGGTCTCTGGGGACATGCAGGTCAAGGTGAGCAGCCACCTGTTCCCTGGTGTGGATCACCTGGCATGAAGTACAAAGTGACCTGCAGACGGCGGCTACTTGTGCTGGGCTTGGAGGTGCGCAGGCGAGGCCGAGCTGCAAACCAAGGCTGGCTGCCTCTGGTGCCCAGCCTGGGCCGCTTAGCAAGGGGTGTGGGCCGTGCTGGATCCAGATGCAGTTTGAGAGGTTTTAGGAAAGTCTGAAGCAGGAGCCAAGACAGGCCATTTGTATGGAAAAGCCACTGGAAATGGCTTAGAACGGTCCACAAGTTGGGTGGGCCCACAAGTTGGGTGGGGTGGGTCTCAGAGAATCACCAGGGTGGGGCAAACAATGCTAGAAAGGTTCACAGAGGCTCAGACATAGCACCTGCCTGGCACCTCTGTGCCAGGAGTGGGCGCGGGGCTCAGCACAGGCACAGCGGCCTCTGTCAACACTTGTCGGGGAGAAAGGTGCCCCGCCAGCCCTCGCCCTGTGGCCTGACAATTGAGTTCCTTTCCATCTGCCCCTGGCGCCCTTCCAGCCGCTGCCCCAGCGCTCAGAGCCAGCGAGTCTGAGGGTGTCTGCATGGCGGCCTCTAAGAGGAACTGCCTGAGACTTCAGAAGCCCCCGTAGCCCTCAGCCATGATCCCGCTGGTTTTCACATCAGAAGCTGTGAAGACTCTCTTCCCGGCACTGGAACCCTGGGATGGGGTCCTGCTGATGAAGCCGATGATGATAAACTAGCCTGATACTATTTACAAATAAAAATATCAAATCAAACTATAGTTCTGTTTACTTGACATTCTCAAATATGGCATACTAGAGTTATTATTATTATTATTTTTTTTTACCTTGGCTTCAGCTACATTTTTTTCCCCTGAATCGTAGGAGGAAACCTTTGCCAGGAAACAGATTCCACTGTCCAACTTTTAATGAGTTACTATAATCTGTGAGCCAATTTTTCTTTAGCCTAGGTTATATTTTACCAGTAAAACTTTATAAGCATAAAATGTTTAAATTACTTCTCCATTTAACCAGACCTAATAAATTTACTGCACATTGTAAACTAGTTTAAGAATAGTTTCAAAACAAACTTCTCACTTTAAAAGTTGCCTCGTGGTATAACATGTGCTGGTACTAAGTGCATCTTCCGCTAGAATAAGGTGAAGCATCACAGCACATATGCTTTGCTTAGTCAGTAGAAATCATTATATTTAATTACCATTATTTATTTCTTTTATGAGGTCGTTTTGCATTTGACTTTGGGGAAGTGAAAAGTGTCTTTAGAAATTTCATTTTGATAAATCAGAACACACTTAATCATTTGATATAAAATTATTAAGTCAGGGGTGAGAAAGGAGGTAGAATGAAGGGACAATGAAAATGTTTATTAAAATTGCTATTTCTGCAGAGGCTTAGAGGAAAAAATAACTTCTTGAGTGCATGAAAATAGGTCCCCTATGTGGGCTTTTTTTTTTTTTAAGGTAGAAAACCCTAGAATCTAATAGAGTCACTAACCCACTTATTCTTTTCCCACTTCCTGTGTCAGTGTATGACTGAAAACAATCCTGGGAATATCTAACTTCAGCATAAAGTTTTGTGCCTTCCTTTACCTCTATACACTATCCTGTCCCCTGCTGGTTCTGTGGGACATCACTTTATGTGTTATTGTCTTGGTATTCTATATCGCAAACATCTGTAATGTTTGTTTCTATAACTTGTTCCTCCCAGATCACACGCATAGTCAAAGTGCTGTCTTTCAGAAATGGAAACTCTGTATCTCCAAATCCTGTTGTGTTTCTTCTTTCTGTACCATCAATCTACCTATATCTTCCTTTCTTTTATTTCAGTTTCCAAGTCCATGTATGTTTTACTTCCTTTTCTTGTCTTATTGCATGCAGTAGGCGTTCCCGTATGATGTTGAATAGGAGAAGTGAGGCGGGTGGTCCTCGTTTTGTTTCTGATCATAGCAGACAAGCATCTAATTTCTCAGCATTAAGTATGATATTAGCTTTACTAAGGCGAGGAAGTTCTCCTCTACATAAATTGCTGAGAGTTTTTTTTTTCAATATCATGAATGAGTGTTGGATTTTCTCAAATGATATTTTTGCATCTACTTACATACTCATGTCATTTTTCTTTTGTAGTCTATTGATATGATGGATGACCTTAATGATAGTCAAATGTTGAACCAGGCCCACGTGCCTGTGGTAAATCCCACAAGCCGTGACATACAATATTTTGTATATGTTGTGGGATTCTATTTGATAATATTTTACTGAAGTTTTTTGCCTTTATGTTCAGGAGAGATGTTGGCCTGTGGCTTACCTTTATTATAATGTCATTATTTTTGGTATTAGAGTATTTCTGGCCTCAGAGAATGAGTTAGGAAGTATTTCCTCTGCTTCTCTGGAAGAGATTGTAAAAAATTGACGTCATTCCTTCCTTAAATGTTTGATAGAGCTCCCCTGTGAACCCGTCAGGGCCTGGTGACTTTTGTTTTCAAATATTATTAATTATAGGTTCCATTTCTTTAATAGCTATAAGCCTATTGCTTTCTGTGTAAGTTTGGGTAGACTGTGTCTTCCAAACAATTGGCTTATTTCATGGAAGTTATCAAACCTGTGAGCACAGTATTCTTTACAATGATCCCATATTGTCCTTTCAATGCCTCCTTTTCTGATATTAGTACTTTGTGTCTCCTCTCTTTTTTCCTAGTTAACTTGGCTAGAGGCTTATCAACTTTATTATTTCCAAAGAATTGGCTTTTAACAAAATTTTCCCTATTGATTTTTTATTCTTAATTTCATTGACTTTTGGCTTTAATTTGTATTATTTATTTTCTCCTGCTAACTCTGAATTTAATCTGCCGTTATTTTTCTAGTTTCTTCAGGAAAAAAATTTAGATGATTGATTTTGGTTCTTCCCCTCCCACCCATACATGCATTCAATGACATAAATTTCCCTCTAAATCTGACTTTGCTGAATTCCACACACTTCAAGCTTTATTTTTATTTTAATCTAGTTTAAAATGTTAACATCTCTTGAGACTTCCTCCTGGCCCACGTGTTATTCAAGAGTGTGTGGATTTTTTTGTTCTTTGTTCTGTGAATTTAACTGTTTTTCCCCCATGGACAATAATGATTCTCAGTGAGGGGATCCTGTTTCCTGAGAAAGCAAAGGAAGCTTCTGGGGCAAGGTCATCCTTCAACGCGTGTCAAAACCCTGAGCAGAGCAATGTTCTTGACATTGGGAAGCAGACCCCCCCGTGTCTTTCCGCGGGCAGGAAAAGCTCCAGAGAGGGCGGCTTTTTCAGTGGAAATACATTCAGGACACTCATTGGGAGAGACCCAACTCGGTTCCTGAGTTCCTGAGAATTTATCCGCTTGTTTAGTTTCCTCTTCTTTGGAAAAAGCTGTTCCACACTCTCTACACTCTACTCAATCACTTGCATTCTTTGGAGGTTCCTCTAGGGAGCATGAATGGGGCCGGTGTGGGCTTGTTTGCTCATGAGAAGACCGGCTGGAGGAAAAGCGCCCTTATTCACAGCGCCAGCGACCCCGCTTCTGGCCCCGAGGAGGGGCCTCTCGCGCCCTCGCCCTCCTTTCCGTCTGGCCCAGAGCAAACACCTCCGTATCAGGAAATTCGATCACAGCGTTTCGATTTTTTGTGCTGCCATGTACTCCTCTTGGCGTCCTCGCGAGGCCATAAGGGAGGCTCTTCTGATACTAAATGATCAGAATAATTTTCGGTACATAATCGTGAACAACCCCGTGTCTCAGCTGCGTAATCGCTGAAACCTTTTTCTTCGGAGGGAAAAACAAGTGGCCTGGATAACCTTAGCTTTGAAAGCCTCGCGAATCTGGAGTTAAAGGGAACAACGCAGTTCGCGCAATCGATTCTTAGAAAAATCCAAACAAGACAGGGGGAGAACAGGGCGGCAGAGGAGGTAGAAGCGGCTCCCACCTCCTCCCAGACCCCAACTGCAATTACAAGTAAATTACAGGTAATCAGTCTGAGTAACCGACCGGGCTGGGCTGATCGGCCGCCTTGTAACCACGGGTTCGCGGAAGTCAGGCCAGGACGGGTAGGAAGGGTGGAGGCAGGAGATGGCTGGCCCTGCACCCAGAGGGGCAGCTGAGGATCCAGAGGGACCTGGCCGCTGCCCAAGAGCCCCCGAGGCAATGCGGCGGCCTGAACCCAGGCCTGAGCCCTCGGCCAGAGCAGTGGAGCCAGGACGAAGAGCCCCCATCAGCGCCCCCATCACCGCGGGCCGGGTAGGCCCGCCAGGGGGACACGGCAGTCTGCTAGCGGCGCTGGTGCGCTTTCAAAGGGTCTGCGCACAAACGCCCATTTGCAGCCACTCTCCCCGGGCCCCTGCGAGGGAGGGCAGCTTGAAGCAGGCCAGCGTCTCGTGAGGACAGCCGGGGCTGTGTGGCTTCGGGAAGAGGGTGGAAGGGTCAGCCACCAGGGCCCCCTCCCACAGCCGCGCAGACACCGCCTTTCCCAGGTGGAGCGCCCCTCTCCAAACTGCACCGGCCTGGGGAGTGGTGCGAGCCCCGCCCCCGCAGTCCCGTCCTGCTGCCCAGCCAAGCTCGCGCCCTGCGGAGGCCCTCCGAGCCCGTGGCGTGGGCTTTCCAGCAGGGACCCAGAGGGCGAACGCGAGGAGAAGCAGAGACCGCGCTGCGTGGCTCCGGGGCCCAGGCCGCTTCCTTCCCCCAGGGCGCGCCGGGAGCTGCGCCCCACCCCCTCCTGGCCCGCAGCACCAGAGACATGGAGCCCTGTCCCCCGGGAGCCGGAAGAGCGGTACCTGGCCCCTCTGCGGAGACCCGCTGGTCCTACCAGCAGAGACCCCCGCCCCGCCCCGCCCCGCACTGGATTCCCTCCCTGGGGATGGGACAGCCGGTGCGCCCAACGGCCCGGACCGCGGCCCGAGCGGCTCCACAGCGGCGCTCGCAGGCCCCTGGCCGGGCTGGGCGAGTCCAGCTCTGCGGAGTTGGCGCCCACTCAGCAGCTCACACTGGGCCCTCGGCCGTCCTCCCAGCCCGCGGGGGGCAGCCCGCCCACGGCTGGGCCAGCGGCAACCCAGGCTCCGCGGCCACGGGGGCCCCCCCGCGCACCCCCGCAGGGGCCCTCCCCGGGCCCAGGCTCAGGGGACCCGGGAGGCTGCGCCTCTGGGCCCACAGGACGCCGACTGCCCCCGGCCGCCCCCCGAGGCCCAGCAGACCTGCCCCGTACACAGCGACACACGCAGAGGCAGCAAAACGGGGGGCACAGAAACAGGCCCCAAAGGGAACAGCAGGAGAAACCCCCAGAAAAAGGACCGAATGAGGCAGAGGCGAGGGAACCACCAGGCACAGAGGGCGAAGCGCTGGCTCTGAGGACGCCCAGGGGCGTGGCGAGAACCCCGACAGCAGGAAACCTCTCCTTTGAATGCCCTCGTGTAGGGTGAGACGCCCATTAAACCCGATGCATGGAAATTGTTTTAAATCACTAAGTAACAACATGCCACTCTGCTCGGGAGAGCATGAAGGCTGATAAAGTTACCGCCATGTGACTACAGTCCGGAGTCCAGGTCTGCCGCCCCTTCTAGGGCAGACGAACGAGCGACCGCATGGTCGCAGTGCTGTTCCCCGCGCCCCGCCCCGGGGAGGGAGGGTGGGGGTGGTCGGGGGGTGCGTTGGGTTACCACGGGGAGAGAAAGTCCCCAGGGGGACAGCTGCACCTGCGTGTCCTCAGCAAGGGGCTGTCTCGCCAAGCAAAGAAAATGAAAAGTTGCAGGAGATCGCAGCTGAGAAAGACGAAGTTAGGCCAAATGAATAAAACGTAGCCAGCGACTATGATTCATGCAGTGGAGCTTTACTTGCTGATCTGCAGGAAATGAAGAGGCCGCTGAACTGTCACGCTGAACACAAGAAGCAGCTGCCAGGCTGGCAGCGGCCGCGGGCCTGGGAGACGCCGAGGCCGGGAGCGGCAGAGGGGCACGGGTCGCCGGCCGCTCTGCCCTGGCGTTAAAGCGAAAGTGGCTTCGATGTTTTATTTTCAATCAGCAAATGATTATGGTGGGTCTTGCATGGGGATATAATGTTCAAGATTTGTTAAACTGTAAAAGTATATCTGAAAAATGCGGAGAAGTGAAAAAGAAGAAAATTGGTTCCAAGCCAACGACACAGATGTAATCACTAACAAAACTGAGTAGATATCTTTTCCAAATATTTTTCGCTCATAAACTAACTTTTTTCAAAACATATGCGTGATTATCCAGTATTTAATCATTTTTGCCTATTTTTCTTTTTACTTTTGGATGCCAATCTGTACTTTAATGACAAAGCTAAAATGCAGCAAATGGAACCTGTTACGAGAACATCATCAATCGCTTATGTAGGAGGTCATTTGCCTTGTACTGCTTAAGAGACTTGTTTAGTTTTAGTTTTTATTTTTTTAGGATGGAACATAGTGTTAAACAAACCTAATACAAGATTTCTTTGTGGTTTACAATACAACGAAGCTAAGAATAAGCAGAGGCTTTCACTGTATCATTCCAGACCAGGGAGTTTCTGAAGCATTTGTAACATCTCTTTTATCTGAATATGATGCAAATGGCTTATTATTTACTCAACTTATTAACCCAATTAAAATAATCTCCACTCCTTAGTGGGTCAATTGGAGTTTGAAGCTATACATACTGAACTCAAGAAATATAAAAAGAAAAGGGAATAAAAGCAGCTCGCCATGCTGGTATTCGGGCTACCTGATGAAATACAATCAGCTATGTCAAAACAATCAGAGTATTGACAAAATGTCTCACTTCTTGTAGGTCTCTACAGGCCGCCCCGAGGGATGGCGCGTTTGCAGCCACGCGCAGCCGGTGCTGAGCTGCTCCCGGGCTTCTCAGCCCCACTCCCCCGCGGAGGAAAACCTCGACGTGCAACGAGGGCTGGCGGGACCAAAAGGACGAGCCACGCCCTTGGAACATCAACGCTCATCTAGAATTTCCCTTGAATCAGGCCTTTCCTTTCAGGGACCGGGTCGGCATCCAAAGCTGCGTGGGAACGACAGCAGCATGAAGCGCAGACTGAGGCTCGGCTGAAGGCAGCGCCCACGCCGGCAGGGCCGCCCGCACTGCGCCCAGGCGCGCCGGGGCCGCCTCTCATTCTGCGGCCTTCCTGTGCATGTCCTGCCCCAGCCTCCACGCGTCCACAGCCCACAGCCCGGCCCCGCTCCCCGGCCCCGCCGCCGCAGGGAGAGCACATGATCAGCCCGAAAACAAACTCAGACCCTGAAGTCAGTGGAGGCTCGTGACAGAAGTGTCTCATTTGTTCCCAGGTCCCGGTAAACTTTCCAAACCAAAGGAGAGCTCTTGTCATGCAAATAACAACCAACCTGCCACCGCACCCCAGAAAACTAGGTCATTTCTTTGCCCTTAGTGGGGGCTCGGTCAGCTACCAGCTGGTGGCCGTATTTATTTCTATGACTTGGATTTAAAATCACAGTAGTCAGAAAACTGGGTTGTCTCTGCTCCTGGTAGGTACATAATTAAAGCTTTAAGTTGGAGGAGAAGTCTTTGCCTTTTTTTTTTTTTTTAAAAAGTGCGCTTTACTTCAAAATTATATTTAAAAGTCAGTTTTATGAACATTTGCTATATTTGTTATCAAGTGTTGTTTTCAAACGCTCTCTCTGTACCATATTCTGTGCCCACACCCGATTGGTCTTGGTTTCTGTAGAGTGTGAGTCTCCACGTGACCAACAGAACAAGACCTCCCCGGGGTCGGACGCTGTGATCGGAGCGGGGAGTCGCCGCATGTTTCAGTTAGAAGAATCTAAGGGCCAGAGACACGAACTGGTTTTTCTGTTTTTTGTTTTCTACCCCACAACCACTAATCCAAAAAAAGGGGCCTTGTTTTCTCTGAAAGCAATTCTGTATTTAATTTTGTGTTCCATTATCTTAGTCTTTGTTCCCTTTAAAATATTGTCATTAGTTACTGTTGTTATAAGCAAACTAAAAGCCGTCCTTTTTTTAAGGTTACCACTAAATATAAAAAGTATTATAGTGTCTTTAGAAGAAAGTGTAATTCCTATCATTGGCAGCTTTGTGTCAATTAACAAAATACCATCGAACGATTGACCCGTGGTATTAAAAGTGTACCTGAATGTCCTATTTTAACTAAATTATTATATCGGAATATATCATAATGGCCTGTTTGAATTTCTTCTTCCACTTAACCTTGGTTTCTTTCTTACAAGTCAAAACGTCATACAAAGTATTTCTGATTTCAGTCTATATCAACTATTACATTATTTTAAGTCCTTTTACATTGCTCGCATATAATAAAGGAAAAAACTTAGCAACATCCAAGCAAGCTACCCACCACAGCCAGACCGAACAACCGCTGCGTTCGAAACGTTAATTACAGCCTTGAGCTGAGAGAACTACCAAGCACAGCACAATTTAAACTGGACAGAGTCCACCGATACAAAAGTCACAGAACAAAGGCAGTACCCGGCCAGGATCCAGGGCAGAGAGAGGGGCCATGCTGTCCAAGACGGAGAGAGGCAACCTTTTCTGAACCCCCAAATCTACCCCTGAATTGTACAGAAGGGAACCAAGTGCCGGGAAGAATAAGGTCTCTCCCTGACATTCCAGCTTCCGGTAGACGAGCCCCAGGTTTAGAAACACATGTTCTTTTTTTCACATGCGGTGAAATCATTTGACACATAAGCCCTCGCAGCGCGCACCGCACGCCCCTCTACCCGGCCCGTCGGAGCGCGCCCTCGGCGCCAGGCTCCGGCCGCAGAGGCTGGGCCGGCCCGCAGGGGCGGACGCCGCTCCTGGGACCAGCCCGCGGCGCCCCGTGCGTAACAGACGCCTGTGCTGGGCGATGTGGCCGCACCTCCCCGAGGGCCACGGAGGCCTGTGGTGGCGACGAGCGAGAAGACCGCAGCGGCCAGCCTTCACGGAGAGAAGAAAAGCAAGGAAAGGAGGAAGGCACACGCCGCTCGGCCTCCTCTGCGGGCTGCTCGCCCCCTCTTCGCTCCTCTCTCCCGGCGCCGGGTGCTGGTCAGCGCCGGCCGTGGAACTGCTGCAGGGGCTGAAGCACGAATGCAGCGGGAACGAGAGCCTCCTCGCAAGGACACGGCTGGCCTCCTGCCAGGGCCACCTGCCGCGGGACACCGAGCAAGGCTGCCTGGAGAAAGCGCACGTGGGGCCCCCTCCAGGCACGGTCCCTGTACTCGGGGCGACGGCAGAAAGGACAGACTGCAGGGGAACATGTCCCAGTTTGGAGGCCGGACGAGGGCCTGTTCTGGCACAGCGTTTGACCCCGCCCCGCGGGCCCATTTGTTAGCTTGTGCCAGGAGTTTTATAAACCTCAAAAGAGAATTGACCCCGGACTCGTAAAACGTCCCGGGGTGGGGCGAGGTTATGAGCAAAGGACTTAGGCACGGGGAGTGTCCTATTTGCTTCTGTAGGACGAGAGTCGTTCTTAAAATCGCTGTGACTTAGTCACAGCCGGGAAGAGCCCAGGGCCTCTGGAGGGAGCGGGAGCCGGGAGCACGTGCGGAGCGGAGCGCTCTGTGGACGCTCCCCGGACCTGCGGCAGCTCAAACTTACTATTATTTTTTAAGAACACTGTGCAGGCTAGATTTGGCCCCAAAGCTGCCGAAGTACGGCCCCTGCCACGGTATTATGGAAAACCGAGCTCTTCGAATTACGGAAGTGGTAATCATCATCATCATCATCATCATCATTATTATTATTATTATTAGCCACGGGCGTGTTATTGTTGCGCTCCTCTTACTTTTGCTGCCCAGCCTCCAGCCGGCCTTCCTTTCATAATCGGAACCCCTTTCCCCTTCTGACGACCCGATCTGTCCCTGTTTTCTGACCGCAGGCTCTGAACCCTCCCTCCCCGGGGGAGATGCAGCATTTGACCTGGGAGAGCCGGTCAAAGTGTTGTAACGCCCCCGAGAAGGTGACGGGTTCTGGGATGAACCCGTGATCCAGTTCCGCTGAATGAGCGTCCACAAGCTCTTCTCCCAGTTCTTTGTGGAGCACGGATTTTTGTTCCTCGCTCGGATGTGAAAGTGAGATGTTGTGAGGTCCGGCCACTGGGCCCCGTCGCCGTTGGGCCATGAAGATACTTAGTGTGAACACTGAATATTTCTTGGGCAAATGAGGGTGCAGCCTCGCTGTGGGCAAATCTGGGTCGCCGTGGCAACCTCACATCTTCCTGGCACCGCTTCCTATGCTCTACAGGGAAAGGCTCGGTCCAGACGGGCGACCCAAGCTATTTGCAGAAAAGAATAAATGTTTGCCTTCCGGGAACGAGAGAGTAATAACCAGAAAGAGCCTCCCACCAGGGGAAATCTTGTCCCGGTTTTATGTTTTATTTTAAATATGGACACCCTTTTATTTTCATAATGTGTATTTTAACACAACAATAATTCTCGAGTAAAAACGGATGCTGCAGGAGGGCAGGTGTCTTTGCTCTCCGGTCGCAAGTGGCCTCAGACGCCGCCCCTGCCCGCGTGCTGGGGCGCAGGGCGCTGAAGTCTCCACGGCGGGGCCTCCGCGGCCGCCCCGTGAAAGCCTGTCCGTTTGCATTTCCGAATCCTTGACCTTCAAGATGCTCTCTTAACAATCGGTAAGTAAAAGGATAATATTATTGAGTTAAGAAAACATTACCAAATAAGTGCTTCCTGAGAATTCGACTGATCCCCCTTCTTCTGCTCCTCTCCACGGACGTTCACAAACATCCAGATCTTGTTTACTTACCCCGTTTTGGCTATTAAAATTATAATGTGAATTCACTCACTTCATAACATATGTCTATTGAATTTATTGGGGTGACATTGGTTAATAAAATTATACAGGGTTCAGGGGTGAAATCCAGAATCCATGACCCGTGTGTCGTCTTGTGTGGTCACCACCGAGAGCCGTCTCCTCGGTCACCCTCTATCCCTTTACCCTCCCCCACCCTCACCCCCCACCTGCTTCCCGCGGGTCACCCCCGAGCTGTCCGCCCGGAGGAATACACTGCCCTGTCTCTCTCCACCCAAGGAGCAAACACGTGCATTGTGTTAAAAAAAACAAAAACAAAACAAAAAAACCCTCTAAGCTTTTACAAGTCATTAGATGGCTTTGCCCGCCACATTTCCACCAAAGAAGGTTGCAAAATGGAGGTGGGGGTGGCGGCGGGGAGATGTTAAAGCCCTTCACTCCCAGAGCTTCGTATTAATGTGTCCACCTGGAGGAGGCAACGCAAGGCCTGTGGGGCCCGGTGCCACCCGGAGCCCCGAGGGCAGCCTGCTGCTTGCGGTGTCTTTGTGGAGACAGCGTGTTCAGGGACAGCGAAAACTGATCCTGCGTTTTCCGTGTGACATACGTTTACTGGAACATTCCGCTCCCCCCAGGCGGACGGCAGAGTGTTTACAGTTGTCAGCCTCGCTGTTTGTAACTGGGAAGCCGAGCTCCGGATCTAGAGCCGCGGGAGAAGCTGCTGCTGTAGCCAGCCCCGGGGGCGGGGGCGGGGGCTCGCGTGTACTGAACCAGAAACACGTCGTCTGTGATGTGTAATAAATCCTCCAACATCACGCTTCTTTTGAAGAGGAGGATCAAGGACGCAGAAGAATGTTTTGAACCAAAACCTAAGAGTCTATCTAGTTGGCATATTGAGTTATAAGCGAAAAGACATCCCGCAAGGTAGTGTGCTCCATGAGTTCCGTGAATTTATTTTTCAGTGTTAATGTCGTAGAAGGCTGAGGCCAGGCCAAGCTTAGGGATCATCCGATCTGATCAGTTTTCTCTTTTGTAAAGCCATCGAAGCAGGGACTCAGTCACCGAGTGTTGGCTAAGAGAAGAGACCAAAGTCCCTCGATTTCTAACCAGCGATCCCTTAGTGCAGAAAGGGTGGGTGGGATATCTGCTCTCCTTGTGTGTCCGCCCTAACCGGCGCCCGGCGTACAGACCGTGACACGCACTGGCAATACATCTGAGCTCGATTTGTCACTGTCT